TATCTTGGATAAGTTATGAATTTTTTAATAAAATCAATATTTAATTCATTTTTAGTAATGTTTGATAAGATTTCAAATTTAATTAATTTACCTTTATTATTTCTAATAATTTTAACAAATGAAAATTCTTGAATTTCAAAAATTTTACATAATTCATTATGAATATGTAAAGTTGAATTATCATTAAATTTTTCAAATGAAATTGATTTTAATCTATAATTTTCAATATATTGATCAGTTGATGTTTTTGGTGCTGATATATGATTTGTTTTAGTTAAAAATTGAATTTTAGATAAATCTAATGAACCATCATTTGAATTAAAATTAACCGCTGTATTTAAAACCCCAATATTTGCTTGTTTAGTATTTAATAAATTTAAAATCAGATCATTTATATCTGTAAATAAGATAAATCTTGCATTTAAATTTGAATTGAATGGTCTACCTTGAGGTTTATTAGCACCAGTTCTTTTTTGAATTTTCAAAGCAGATTGGAATGGGATATAATGTTTCTTTTTAGCTAATTTTAAAGGTTCAAAATCATTCAACATGATGATATTTGGTGGATGAATTATATTGATATTAGAATTGATAACATCTTGTTGATGATTAAAATCATTTTTGATTGTCTTTTTAACAGCGGCTAATCTAGTTGAATGTTTAATAACTGATTTTTCAGCGGTTGTTGTAGTAATATTGGTATTAATTGCACTATCATTGATCAAGTTTTCAATTTTGATTTTTGATAAAGGATCTAAAGGTTTATTGATTTGTAATAAGATTGAATTCATTATGATAATTATATGTGTTTATGATAATGATGACACTCCATGATTCAGTTTATAAAAGGTCAAAAACAAGGGTTTATATAGATTTTCCCATGATGGATCAAGTATAATGCTGATCAAATCATGAATCAATATGGATTTCCTATTAAAGTAATCTTAATTAATTAATTGATATTGCTGCAAGTTAATCATTAAACAAGACAATGGGCAGTAAAGTCATTTTAAAATTCACTTTAGAACTTGATGGAATAATACTTTATTAACATCATGTTGATAAACAGGGCGGCTAATGGCCATAATTCAATGAGTAAGTATTAAATTTTAAATTTATTAAAGTTTTCAAATCAGTGGTCCGTAAATCGATACATATCGTAACCATAGAATTTTGTTTGATATTTATTGTAAATTAAGACATTTTGTTGGGGAAATGTGGGTTGATTTTTAAATGGAAATAGGGGATGAATACTTTTTATAATTCAATTGTGTTGAGTTTGATAAAATTACATCAAAAAAGTGGCCATTTAAAGTAATTTATATTTTAAATTAACTGCACCTTGAAAAATCAAAATTCAAAAATTATTAAAAATAATACCTTCTTGTTTAAATGATTTGCCTTAATGCATAATATGTTTCCATATTATCCAAGACTTAATGATTATGGGTGCATCAAAATTTAAGATAATAATCATCACTTTTACTAGAATTTATGGTTGATTTATTCATGGTCACTGGGATACTTGATGGAATTTACATAAACTTGATGGTCATCAAACGCATAACTTAAGTGATTTCATTAACTTTAATATATGAAGTTCAAATGGGTTTATTTAATTAGTTCCCTCACAGCTGATCCTTATTAGTTTATATTTGATCCCTTAAATTATCCTGATCTTTTAGAAGCTGTCCTTTGTTTCTCCTCAATTAATAGAGATCTGGGGGTCTTAAGTTACTCATTTAAGCGATAAGATATAACTGATCTTATTGTCTGGACTCTGGTACCTGAACACCTCAGACACTCAGACATGAATAAGGCTCAGCGGGTAATATAAATAAGATTCATGATGATCATCATATAGTATTATATACTCATGCCTCCATTGGGATTGAGTATCAATAGTACTCAAGTTTCAAAAGTATCGTTGCTAAGGCTTTTATCTCAAAATTTCAAATCAACAGCGCGTACGTATTTTTTACTATTTTTACAAATTCTTATTATTTTGTTTAGGCGAGAACAATTTTTTTTTAATTCACGCCAGCTGTCATTGTAATTGTATCACGAAAAATTCTGAAAAAAGATTATTGATTTCATTGTGAAACCTCATAATTTCACTCGACAATTCAATAAACACAAACGTCAAAGATCAAAACCACAATCATTCTTCAATCCTTAAGCTAGTCTAATCTTTTTCTTCTTGCTATCTATTCCCCTTTTTTGCTTTGTTTCATTTTGCATCAACTTTATAATTCAAGATGGCTAGACTTAATGGGAAAGCTACAAGAATAGCCGTGTTTAGTTTGGTTATTATTGGGTTAATATTCTTTTTATCAAATACTTCAGGTCCAACTTATGTTCAATCTGTAAATAAAACAAAATCAAATGATGCTAATGTTGTGGATCAATCACAAAAATCAAGTGTTAATGGTTTATTCCCTGATGGTCGTGAAAATGCAACTTTTGTTTCTTTAGCAAGAAATGAAGATTTATGGGAATTAGTTAGTGCTATTAGATCAGTTGAAGATCGTTTTAATGTTAAATATAAATATGATTGGGTCTTTTTAAACAATGAACCTTTCAATGATGAATTCAAAACTGTTATGAAAACTCTTGTTAGTGGTGAAGCTAAATTTGGTGTTATTCCAAAAGAACATTGGTCTTATCCAGAATGGATTTCTCAAGAAAAAGCTGCTCAAACTAGACATGATATGAAAAATATCATTTATGGTAGTTCTGAATCTTATAGACATATGTGTCGTTATGAATCCGGATTTTTCTATAGACATCCATTAATGTTAAATTATAAATATTATTGGAGAGTTGAACCAAGTACTTTATTACATTGTGATGTTAATTTTGATGTTTTCAAATTCATGAGAGAAAATAATAAAGATTATGCATTTACAATTACAATTCATGAATTTGTTGATACTATTAAAACTTTATGGCAAACAACAAAAGATTTTATTAAAGAAAATCCTGAAGTTATTGCAAAAGATAATTTAGAAAAATTTGTTTCAAATGATGGTATGGAATCTTATAATTTATGTCATTATTGGACTAATTTTGAAGTTGCAAATATGGATTTCTGGAGAGGTGAAGCTTATTCCAAATATTTCGAATATTTAGATAAAAATGGTGGATTCTTTTATGAAAGATGGGGTGATGCACCAGTTCATTCAATTGCTGCTTCATTATTCTTACCACAAGATCGTGTTCATTATTTCAAAGAAATTGGTTATTTTCATGGTCCTTATCATAATTGTCCAATTGAAGATTCTGTTAGAGAAGAAAATAAATGTATGTGTAAACCAAATGATGATTTTACATGGAAAGATTATTCATGTACAAGATTATATCATGATGTTAAAGGTTTACAAAAACCAAAAGGTTGGGAAAAACATACTGGTTAGTTTAGGACATTTGAATCTATTCAATTCTTTTTTATTCAATTAATCGTTTAATTATTTAAATAAGCTTATCAATTTCCATGTATATTATTTTTATCAATGTTATACACTAAAGAGCTCTTTACCTACCTTTTATTTGTAATTGTTAAGCTTCAAATGGTATTTCTAAAGATAGATCAACTATATTTTTTTTCAAGGCTATGTACAATTTGATCTGATGCCTTGTCTACGAGTCTGTGAAAAAAAAAAATATCAACACGCGCGCGGTTCATCGCGTCAAAATTCTTGATCCAGGTACCGCTAATTTGACATAATAACGTTGGAAAAAAAAAACGTTGGACCTCAAAAGCTGTATTAAGCGAACACTTTCACTTCAAATCAAAACCTTCATATTATTGGAGACTAGTCACTCGTTTTTATCAAGACTATCAAAGAAAACAGCTTCAAAATGTCAAGATATACAAGGCTACTAAGGTTTACGGTAGCGCTAATATTTATAGTGTTTTTAATATCACATCGAATGATTACCAAAAAGCAATATCAACATGTTTTAGAACTTCAAAATCAATTAGACAATTCCAAATATGATATAAATAATGATCTAAGGACTAATAAACCAGATGGAGATCAAGTAAATAAAATTATTTATAAAGATCCAAAAGATTTGAAAAATGATTATCAAAGAGCAAATGCAACTTTTTTCACATTAGCAAGAAATGATGATTTATTTAATTTAGCCGCTACAGTAAGATCAGTTGAAGATAGATTTAATCATCAATTCCATTATGATTGGGTTTTCTTTAATAATGAACCATTTTCTCAAGAATTTCAAAGACAAATAAATAATTTATGTTCAGGAAATGTAAAATTTGAAATTATACCAAAAGAATTTTGGGCTTATCCATATTGGGTTGATAAAGATAAAGCTAAACAAGTTAGAATTGATTCAAGATCTAAGATGCCATATGGTGCATCAGAAAATTATAGATTTATGTGTAGATTTTTTTCAGGTTTTTATCATAAATTAGAAGTTTTACAAAAATATGATTATGCATGGAGAGCTGAACCTGAAACTACATTACATTGTGATATTAATTATGATGTTTTCAAATTTATGATTAATAATGATAAACATTATGGTTTTACAATAAGTGTTTATGAATTTCCTAATACTGTTACAAGTTTATGGAAAACAGTTACAAAATTTATTGAAATGTATCCACAATTTATTAATCCAAATAATTTATTAGGATTTGTTAGTGGTGATGAAGGTAGAACTTATAATCTTTGTCATTTTTGGACAAATTTTGAAATTGTTGATTTGAATTTCTTAAGATCTGAAGCTTATGAAACTTATTTCAATTTCTTAGATCAATCAAATGGATTCTTTTATGAAAGATGGGGTGATGCACCAGTTCATTCTATAGCAGTTTCATTATTTTTAAGTAAAGATCAAGTTCACTATTTTAATGATATTGGATATTATCATAAACCAATGTCAAATTGTCCAATTGATGATAATTTATGGAAAGAAAATAATTGTCTATGTGATCAAAAACAAGATGTTACATTTAGACCCTTTAGTTGTACAGATAAGTATTATGAATTGACAAAGACCAATAAGCCAGAGAAATGGAGAGAACACGCTGGGCCTATGGAGATGAAAGGTAATCAAAGAGAGTAATTTACATATATATATATAGTATATAGTAATTATAATATAATTTGAAATGGATGTTGAACAATAGTAGAGATCTGGTAGCTTGACTCGAGCCTATATAAAATTAAAGCCGCGAGGATGCTTATCAGGAAACATCAACAAAATCAGCATCTAAGCAACAATTAAGCTGAAAATGATGGAAATCCACCAGTTTCAATCCCAATCAAGTAGTAAACATCCTAGTAAACCATCACCAACATCACCAGCATCACCTGGAACATCATCAACACCAACTAATTTCACGCCCATAATACGGGGTTTTCTGCCAGGTCGATGTGACTTGCACTTAACTGTCTAGTACAAGTTAAGTCCTGCCTTTAACTGAAGAACAAACTCCCAATGCTTTTTGACACAATAGACTGATAAGCTCCATACATTTGACTTGTAACGACTGGGAAATCACTAGAATTGAGCTTTGACTTCTAAAACAACTTCAAGGACCACCTTAGTCCACTTGTTGATGGTTTCAATTGCACCAGTGCCTTGATGACTCTTTCACAGTTTCCCAGCTCGCTCAAACTTGGAAGTAAAAGTTTTTTTCCAACCAAAATTTTTTCTCTACATCTAAGGGTAAAAAAAAGCGATAAGAATACCGGTATAAAGAGGATCTAAAACTGCGATTTTTAGCTTATTTATACAAGAAGACCGCCATTTTTTATGATGAAGTATCTTTATATAAGTAGTGAAGTTTCCAATTGTATCATTCAAACATCATTTTGTGTAATTGGTTCTGATGTTGAGCATGGAATTTCGAAATTACTCATAGTATTAAATTTTGTTCATGCATGTCGATTATGACTCGATTAGACATTTCGTCGGGTTGAAAATTTAGTATATAAAGAGGAATTGATCTCGAAATAAATTTTCATCTCATCTTATATCATATTCCTTCATCAATTGAATTCATATTCATTATTATACTTATACACATATCAATACAATGTCAAAGGGAAAAGTTTGTCTTGCATACTCTGGTGGTTTAGATACCTCAATCATCTTAGCTTGGTTATTAGAACAAGGTTATGAAGTTATCGCTTTCATGGCTGATATTGGTCAAGAAGAAGATTTCGAAGCTGCCAGAGCTAAAGCTTTAGCTATTGGTGCTACAAAATACGTCTTAGTTGATGTTAGAAAACAATTCGTTGAAGATGTTTGTTATCCTGCCATTCAAGCTAATGCCATCTATGAAAATGTCTATTTATTAGGTACTTCATTAGCTAGACCAGTCATTGCTCAAGCTCAAATCCAAGTTGCTGAAGATGAAGGTTGTTTCGCTGTTTCCCATGGTTGTACCGGTAAAGGTAACGATCAAGTTAGATTTGAATTATCTTTCTACGCTTTAAAACCAGATGTTAAAGTTATTGCTCCATGGAGAGATCCAGTTTTCTTTGAAAGATTTGCTGGTAGAAAAGATTTATTAGCTTATGCTGCAGAAAAAAACATCCCAGTTACTCAAACCACTGCTAAACCATGGTCAACTGATGAAAACTTGGCTCATATCTCATTCGAAGCTGGTATCTTAGAAGATCCAGATACTACTCCACCAAAAGATATGTGGAAATTAACTGTTGATCCATTAGATGCTCCAGAAACCCCAGAAGATTTCACTGTTTTCTTTGACAAGGGTAAACCAATCAAATTAACCTACACTGAAAATGGTCAAGAAACTTCTGTTACTGAACCAGTTGATTTATTCTTAACCGCCAACAAATTAGCTAGAAGAAATGGTGTTGGTAGAATTGATATCGTTGAAAACAGATTTATTGGTATCAAATCAAGAGGTTGTTATGAAACCCCAGGTTTAACCTTATTAAGAAACACACATATTGATTTAGAAGGCTTAACCTTAGATAGAGAAGTTAGAGCTATTAGAGATTCATTTGTTACTCCAACTTACTCCAAGATCTTATATAACGGTTTATACTTCACTCCAGAAGGTGAATATTCAAGATCAATGATTCAACCATCTCAAAACACCGTTAATGGTCAAGTTAGAGCTAGATTATATAAAGGTTCAATCATCATCTTGGGTAGATCTTCATCAACTGAAAAATTATATGATGCTACTGAATCATCAATGGATGAATTAACCGGTTTCCAACCACAAGAAGCTTCAGGTTTCATTGCCGTTCAAGCCATTAGAATTAAGAAATATGGTGAAGCTAAAAGAGAAAAAAATGACCCAATCACCTTATAAATAGATAGAGTATATTAAGTTAAAACGGGTATTTAACTTGATATTAATGTGTTTTAATGTACAGTTTTTAATTTATTGTTTTATATCATAGTATTATAGTATAATCTGTAGATCAATCATGTACTTCATTAGTTATATATTTATACATCAATATTATATATTATTGATTCATATTTGTAAATTATAAAAGATTCCATCCATTTTTGGTATATATTATCTTTGAGGATAAAATTCAATATGTATAAGTGTGTCAACAAAGAAAAAAGTCTAAAATGTATTAGAATTGGGAATCAAAATAATGTAAAACGTATTAATAATAGAATAACAATAAACTAAAAGGGGAAAAAAAAATAAAATTCAGAAAGGAGAAAACAAAATAACAACTAAAATTCTTAAAATCCATAATATCATAAAAAGTATTCACTTCTTTGTGTCTTTTGTGGTGCAATTCTTTGTGTATCATCAGGAACTGCACTAAATATTTTAAATTTAGGAACTAAATCATCATCAACTTTCATAACACTTGCAACATTACCACATCTATAACAATAATTAGGCGCACTCCAAACTGTTACAACATCTTTTTCCTTGAAATGATATTTAAATCCCTCCATAACTAATTGATGTGCTCTTGAAATTAGTTGTAAATTATTAACATGATTAAACTCTCTTGCAACTCGACTACCAAATAACCAACCGGCACCTCTTGGACTAACTTGCCATGCATCAACATCATCTGGATCACTCCAAACTAAATCACAGAAACCACCTTCATGTGGGACTTCTTGAGCTCTTGATAAAACTCTAATTTGATCTAGCATCCTAATTTCTGGTGATAACCCACCATGAACACATAGAATTTTACCATCAATTATAGCAGCTAATGTTAAGAAATCAAAAACTTGACAACAATATTTCCAAACTGTTGGTGATCCATATTTATTCAGACATTCATCATAAAATCCATAAACTTGAGTAATTTGTCTTGATTCATGATTACCACGTACTAAAGTTAATCTTGAAGGATATTTAACTTTCAAACACATCAATAATGTAAATGTTTCTAAACTGAAATAACCACGATCAACATAATCACCTAAAAATATATAATTTACATTATCTGGTAAACCACCACTTGTTCTAAATAATTCCAATAAATCATGAAATTGACCATGAATATCACCACATACAGTTACGGGGCTCTGTACGGGTTGAATATTTGATTCTTCCATTAATAATTCTTTTACTTTTTCACATAATTGTTTCATATCAGTTTCTGGTAATGATTGACATTTTTTAACTTCTTCAAGCCAAATATCCGGACCTCTCTCACTCATTGTATATTGATTCTTTATGGTTGTATATTAATTTTTTGATGCAATTATGATTCTTTATGAATATGCTAACGATTTGATGAAAATGAAATGACTGTATTGAAGTGAATAAGGGAAAAAACCAAAACTTATTGAAATAAATTGCCACCAATATAATAAATTTGAAATCTTTAAGGGTTTCTTCTATTTTGGTAATACTAATACAAATATATTCTCACGCCTTCCAGCTGAGATTTTATGACTAAGGTATATCTTTTGCTGAGTAATGAGCCCTTTATTTGATTATTATAAGCAAAAATCAACAATTGGATTTAAAAAACTTGAAAAAGATGATCTCTGAAGTGAAATTAATCAAATTCAATAAATTCTCCCTTTAGATTTACTAATTGTTTTTTATTTGAATAATTTACAACATTTTTTTGGTTCTACTTTTTTTGCTTTTCGTCAACGAAGCGAAAATCAAAGTCGGAAAAAACAGAAAAAACGTACAAATATGGCAATTACCGGTTTAGGAAACCAATATAGATTAAATATCACACTACCAAAAAACAAAATCAAATCAATGATTAAAGTATATTTGATAATTCTACGAATAAAAAATGGTGTGTAATAGTATTATTGTACTGAGAGTCTCGTATATTCATAAGTCCATCCATTTCTCGTTGGAAGATGGACCGAAAAGTCGATCATAAACAGCTGGAATATTAGTGAATGGTTCCTTTTTAGAACAAACTAAAGTTCTAGCTCTAGATAAAACATTACCTTTGATCATTCCATTTTCATTGAGAGAAACACAAACATTTTCAATGAAACTATCATCAATTGGTTCATTGATTATTTGAAATAAGTATTGATCCCCAAATAGCTGTGATTGTTGTTGAGGTGATCCAATTGATAATCTTAAAGTTGTACCTATTTGATCATAACTGAATCTTGTTGATTGGGTCCACATCATGATGTTGAATAATAAATTCCTAAATATTAAAATTTTTGATCTTTGTGCTAACGGAATCAATAATAATTTGTTTTTAAAATATTCTTGATTATCGAATAAATATTTTTGAAATCCAATATGATTACCAGTAAGTAAATATTTGATCAATGGATAATAATGTTGTTGGAATTCTGGTGATATTGATAATGCTTGTTTACTTGGTATTCTCCCAGTTAGCAATGAAACGGGTATTAAAAGCCGTAGAATTCTTAAAGTGTTCTTTTCATTAGCTATTTTACTTGATTTCATATAACTCCATTGAAGATGATGGAATGCTTTTGTGAATTGATTTTTGATCATGTAGTATTTACCCAAAATGTATCTATATTCTATTTGTTGAGCTTTTGGATATTGACTTAGTTTTAGATTCAATAAATTCATATTTGCAAATATGTTTGCACATAATAATGGATTATTGATTGTAAAGTATACTTTGTTCAAGTTATTGACAATAAATAAAATAAGCTGTTTCTTGTTTGACTGACCTTTCAATGAACGTAAATGATTGAACACTTTTGTTAATATTGTTGATACAAATATTAGTCTTTTGAATTTTTTCCCATTGTTTTGTAAATTCAAAAAGAAATCAACTCTTTTCATCATTGGAACAAGATATTTAGTGGTTTCAAACATCAATTTACTCATATGATTCCCATATGTATTGTTTAAAAATGCAATTGACAAATCATTATAAAAATATAATAACAAATCATGACTTTGTAAGATGGATCTTGGATTTATATCACGACAAAACTTCAAATATGAGACCACTATGGAATTGAAAGGTAGCCAGTCATTATCATAGTAGTTTTGGGATTCTACCAATTTATCGAGATCTAATGATTGATTAGCTTGAAGCTCTTTTTGTAATGTTGATACTCTGACAGCTGTTTGATGGGTTGTTAAATTGACAGACAACAGGTTAGCAAATTGTTCAGAGCCATCCCGTCCAATTGAATTCACCGAAGCAGACCTTACTTCATTCAAGAAGTGGTCCAATGACATTGTCTGAAGTTATAGTTGGTTTATACCTTTCAAATATGAGTAGCTTCTCAGTTTTTAGCGCTGTTTACTTAGTTTCCTCGAGATAAAATCTGCCCTCAAAAAAAAAAAAACAAATTACACTTTAAATTTTTACTTGGAAATCTCAACAACGGACAAGTATAAAACATTTCAATTTCACTACAACGAAAGTATAAAACCAGAATTGAATAATGAACGTTGCTGGTAGCAGAGCTCCTGCAGGAAGACCCAAGATACTCACTCGTGAAGACTTTGAGAAAAAATCACAAGCACAAAGTCAACAAAACTCAGCAACACCTAGCCCACCATCATCTGGTAACTCATCAGGTAAACCCAAATCAAGAAATAGAAGAAGAAAACCATTATCCAAAAAGAAATCCGATGCTGGATTTAAAGTTGTTGTAAGATTACTACCACCAAATCTTAAAGCTGAAGAATTTTGGTCCAAAGTTGAAGATTATGTCACTGCACAAAACATTTTAGATAAATATTATGTCCAAGGTAAATATTCAAATAAACCTTTCAAATTACCAACTTATTCAAGAGCTTACATTCAATTTGAGGATCCTCAGATTGTTGATCAATTCGTGGCCAAGTATAAAGAGGTCACATTCGAAGATGATAAAGAAAGTATGATACCAACTTTTGCTATGGCTTTGTTCAGCAAAATGCCAGAAAATGAAAAATCACCTTCCAAGAAACCAGATTCTAAACCTAAACACACATTGCAAGATTTATTATCATATAAAAACTTTTTGAAATTCTATAATGGTGAAATTGAGAGACCTCAAAGTTTTTTGATCTCTGAAAAGAATGATAAAAGAGCTGAAAAGAGAGCTGCTAAAAAGGCTGAAAAGAAAGCTGAAAAGAAAGTTGAGAAAAAGAATGAAAAGGGAGAAAAGAAAGAAGTTCAACCATCAAAGAAAAATGATAAGAAGAAAAGGGAAAAGAAAGATATCAAGAAAGATGAAAAGAGCGGTTCTAAAGATATAAAGAAAGATGTAAAGAAAGACACTAAGAAGGATGATAAACCAAAAGACGCTAAAAATCAACCGGCTGCAGCTACAAATGCTACACAGAAAAAAGAATCACCTGCTGGAGATGAAGAGAAGAAAAAGAGGAAACCTCGTATCAGAAAGAAGAAAGAAGGCGAACAACCAGATAATAAACCTGTTAAAGATAAACCACAACAAAAGAATGACTCTAAACCAAAGAATCCAAAGGGTGAAAAACCAAAGCCAAAATCAAAACCTCAAGAAAAGAAGCCACAAAACAACGGTGGTAATGCTAAAAACAATACTGGAAACAATAATAATTCTAATGGTGCAAATCCTAAACCTAAGATCCAATTATTGGGTAGAGATGATAAGAATGGTCAAGATAAACCAAAGAAACCGGTATTATTGAAGAGAGATAATTGATTGTGGATATCGATGACTATTTGTTGATACGCTGATGAGCTTCGGTTATATTTTTTTTTTTGGGGATTTTGTGTACAAAAAAGTTTAGATCCTACTGAAGAACAATTTATTTTAACAAAGAACAAGCAAGGCGGTTAGAGATCAGACTATTGAATATGGCATCTCAAGATCCAAATATTAGGTTTATTAATGCTGTTATTAACTGGTTGTCTATTTTTCCAGATTCTCGTGTTCAAATAGATGCTGATTATTTAAATTTGACTGATCCTAGTATTATTATTGAAGTTTTAAAGACTCTTATTGGTTCTGATTTTGAGGTTGATTCATCCGCTGAGGTTAAGGATGAAGAAAATGATGGCTCTTTGGTTATAAATTCAGATATAGAAGTATATGAAACAATATTTGTTGGTTTGAAGTCATATTTCAAATCAAAATTATTTTCAAGAAAGAAATTGTATAACTATGTTGGGATGCTTAAATATGAAGAACTAAAAAATGGTGATTTATATGCATTGAATATATTATGTTTTATCCTTTTAGAAGTTGGTCTTCACAGTTTCAAATCTAGTATATCCATATCCATCATTTCAGAATTGAATGAAGACGATCAAAAAGAGTTAAAGAATGTTATGTATGATGAGAATGACTTATTTGGTAAGAATTTAATGTTGACTCAAAGGTTAAGTGCGTTAGAGTTGGAGAATTTAAAGTTGAAAGAATCATTTAAAAAGATTGAACAAGAACAAAAGACTGCACATAAACATTTCGAAATCAATGAAAATGAAAAACATGGTATTCAATTAGAGTATGAAAAGGCGCTTCATGATAAAGACTTAGAACTTGAAAAGTTAAAATATCAGCTTTCTGTATTCAAAAATTCAAATAATGATTTAAAACAAGATAATTTACAACTTAAAAATGATTTGGAAGATATAGGTAAATTCAAATCACAACTGAATAGAAAGAAACATAACTATACCACTGAATCTACAATTACCCATAACTCAAATGGAGAAAAATCAATTGCAAGTGATGAACTCAAATGGGAATACAATATATTATCAAGTTGGTTAAATAGACTTTATGCAAGTAAAAAAGCTCGTTAGTATTGGACTACATTATGAATTTTAGACGAATATGAATATCAAGAAAACATTAAATTTATGATTAAAAACTGTAGATGAAATGTAATTTTAGTAATTATTATTATTTGTAGTAGAAAAAAAATAGACAATTAAAAAACAAAAACAATGCAACATTTATCTCAAAACACTAAAATGACAACTTTGTAATTCCAAAACATTCAATATTTTGAAAATTCTAGTCCAAGTATTTGAGTTTCGTACACGTATTTGAACAATATATTAAAAACGAATGATGAACACATAGAAAAATATAACAAAACAAATCATATTATAAAACATTTACTTGAGTAAACTTAAAACTGTTTTTTTTTTTGTATCTCATTTGATTATTAGACTAAACTTCTTAGAAGATAGCATCAAGGGTACAACAGATACATAATGCAGCAAGACATGCCATACAACAGTTATTATTACTGCTCTTTTCTGGTTGTTGTTGAACATAAACTGGTTGTTGTTGTTGATAATAACCTTGTTGTGGAGGACCTTGTTGGTATCCACCATAACCTTGTGGTGGACCTTGTTGATAACCACCGTAACCTTGTGGAGGACCTTGTTGATAACCACCATAACCTTGTTGACCACCATAATCATTGAAACCTCTTTCACCTTGTTGAGCTGAAGGTGGTGGACCTGATGGTGGGGCGTATTGTTGTTGTGGAGCGGAACCGGACTATTGAAATGGTAGTTAGTATTGACATGTTCACTTTAATTAGTACATTGTGTACTTATGGAGTTCGTTATTGTTTCAAATGAGTTGTTTTTATTTATAAAGGCTGAAACTCAAAAGTAAACAATAAGGGTGCTGCTCGAAAACCAAATTGACACAACATATTCAAATGAAAACTCACGTTATAGTATTTTTCAGCTGACATGATTCAAGTAATCTATTCTATCGAGTATGATAATTATTTTCAATCGAGTTGAATTAAGATAAAGATTTGATTAAATTCCAAAACAATTCTATTGAGATAAAAAATATGAGAGTCTTATTTAAGGGAATTTTTATTTCTGAATTACGTCGTAGAAAAAAAAATCTTGGTTTTTTATCTGCCATTTCACGTGTCAATATTAACTATGAACCCGATGCTTTTTCAGATACTGGAAGTGATGTTTCAAACAATCTTGCTGTGAAATTAAGGCTATGGAAATGATTATTTGATTGGATAATTGGTTATATTAAAAAATGGCAATGTGTACTACTTAGTTTAGTGACTAAAAACGGTTATTTAGCACGTAAATTGTTAACAATATGAGATTTTCATGGAAGGCTCGGTATATTATTCTGTACATAGCCTGCAGAGGCATCATTCATTATTCATTCGATATAGAACAATAACTGTGCATATAAAGCTTATTAACCGAGCCTCTTTATCTTATAGCATATGATATGAGTTATCTGCTTATCAAGTTGATTAGAGTCAGGGTTTTTGTGTCAATTTCGAGAGTTGTAGTTGCTTAGATATATAAAGTGACGATTAAATAGCGACCATTAGCTGCTTAGAGCTTTAGAATTATAATCAAAAATTAGCTCATCCTCTTGCCAATTTAAACCGGTATATATATATATATATATTGACTAATAGATTTTAATGAAGTATTTGAATATGTCTCTGTCAAAGACATTCCCAACTTTAGCTGAGTTAAGCTAGAAGCTAGAGCTGAAGATCAATATATATAGAAGTAACTACTAGCTGGAAAGCAAAAAAATAATAACATGTATTACCATCTATTGTATAGCTAAATAGTTACATTCAGACATATATCAATATTGATTATAAATATTTTGATAATTCATAATATTATGAACTATGATCAGTACAGAATGATTGTGACTTAGTTGATGTGTTCTGTTGAAAATCTTGTTGTTACAGTGATCAATTGTTTAACCCATTAAAGAACACTCCAGTAAAATATGCAAAAAATGTACTGTAGTCAATAACAAGATAGCCAATGCTTAACCCTAAAGTATCCAGGTACTTTTATTCACCGATTTGGAGACTTGAAAATATCACCAACCTTTTGTTTTGTTGATTAAATAAAAGTAATAGACGTTGCTTTGCCATGAAGGGGTACCATTTTAGATGAAACATAAGGTTTAAAAATTAAAACAGTCGTGACAATACTAAAGAACAAAGAAGAAGCATTAAAACTGGTCAATGAATCATGATCAAGGACCTTAAATGTCATTCAAATTATAATAATAAAATTTATAGAATTAGAGACGGAATCGCGATCTTCTTCTGTGATGTCTGGCGTCTGGCGGTACAATTTTCTTGTTGGCTTTCTCAACAATATTTTTTGTATGGGGAAATGAATACTGATTTGAACAAAGTTAGTACTAGCCTTCATTTTATCGCTTTATACAAACCACATTCGTTAAAATCACAGAACTCATCAAGGCTACGGTTAATATCCATTCGCACAAAGTTCTGATGTCGTCTTTTGAAAAAGAGTTTGTCAATATTCTTGAAAATACATACAAACACCCCACAATTGATGTTTTCCCATTATCAACCAAAGTAAACACATCAAATTGGATTTTGATATTTAATGCTACTTCCAGAATAATAGAGATTGTCACTGGAATTAATTGGAAAGAACTATATCCTATATCATCGAATGAAGGATTTCTAGATGAAAAACAATTTACAAAATACTTTGATGAATCTTTTGAGAATGATGTTGCCATTAAAGATCAAATCCAAAAGATCATAAAAGTTGAATTGGAGTCACATATATTAGATCATGGTCATATAGTTAAAAGAAAGAAACAACTGCTGGATTGGCTAAGAAAATATTATAGAAATCAACTTTCATCAATATCAAATATATCAGAAACAACTTTAAAATCATACAAATTAGAATTACAATTAGCATATTTAACTTTCTCCAGAATCCTCAATACTATATTTAAAGATGGTATTTGGCTTCATATTGATTCATTTCATAAGTGTTACAGATTTATTCAATCCAATAAGGATAAAAACCTTCTCCTTTTACCCAATCACAAATCTCATGTTGACTATATCATAATGCATTACTTATTTGTTAGATTTGAATTAGAAACACCAATAGTTATTGCTGGCGATAACTTGAATGTTCCAATTTTCGGTAAAATCTTGAAACATCTAGGTGCTCTATTTATCAAGAGAACTTTCCAAAAAGATTTAGATTTTTGGTATTCACAAAATTTGAAAAATTTGTTGAAATTCAAAATGAATCAAAGACCCATAACTATGGAATTATTTATTGAAGGTACAAGATCTAGAAATGGGAAGCTCATGCATGGTAAATCTGGGTTTTTGAAGAGTATATTACAAGAAATCAAAGATGAAGGATCTGGATCAATTGCCAGTTCTCGTGAAACATTGGCAATACCCATATCTATCGTTTATGAAAAACCATTAGAGTTTGACGATTACCTTGTTGAGCTGAATGGTTTAGATAAAAATCAAGAATCTTTTACATCTATCCTATCAAATGGATTAAAATTTATGCAAAATGATCCAAGAATAAATTTTGGTAAGATTTTTGTCAGATTTGATGATGATTTCTTAAAATTTGATGATTATCAAAATAAAGATGAATTTTGTGATTCTGTATTAGGTAGAATTCAAGATATCGGGGTTGTTACAGAAATTTCAGTATTAGGTATGAGTTTGTTGCTTCATTTTTACAAATTAAATCAACAAACAACATTTGGACTTGGTGAAATTGCACCAATATTCAAAAAATTGTTAACTAAAATTGTTCAAAAAACAATTTATAATGATCATTTATTACCATACTTAGACTATAATGAGGCTGAATTAATCAAAGTTTTCAAACTTTATATTAATAAGTTCTTAGTGGACTATGTCAAGTTATACGAGAATGATACAATAAAAGTTATAGAGGAAACAGCATTAGTGTATTATAAAAACAGTTTATTGCATTTTTTCATCCCAGAGATATTCATGGTTCAGGCTAATAGGGACCTAAAGACATTAGATATCATAACTAAAATATTTGGTTTTGAATTTTTAACAAATAATATAAACTATCAACAAACTGAAATTGATGATATTAGTCATGACTTGTTTGAAGGTTCATTAAAACCATTCATTGAATCTTATGAACTTAGTTTTAAACATTTAATTGGTGTCATTTCAATTACTTTCAAAAACTGGGTTCATTTGATATATATGTCAAGACCTAATGTTCAATATAAAGAAAGTTTGAACAAGTCTAATCTAATCTATGCAATCAATATTTTGAAAAGATTAAAAGTTGTTAGAACAAATAAAGAACATGAAGTTACCGTCATTGATGAAGAAAAGCTAAAGTTGTTGAGCAACTATTTGGAAGATCTTCGTTTGGGGAATGAAATTAGAGGTCAAGACAAGGTATTCAACTTGTTCAATAATGTCAAGTTATGAATCAGAAAAGTAGAATATTCAAAAGACAATCATAAATTATCGTAAACAATTAATACAGGTGTTAAATAAGACAATTTCTGGAAACTGTAGCTTGTTATTTGGACAAACTTGACTACCCTCAAAGATAATTATGTATTAACATGATCTTGATCTATTATTCAATCTATATGCAAATAGTCGAGCGAAGACAAAATTCTCAATTACGTGATACAACTCTATCATCAGCATTTCTCAACAATTTTTCTCTCAATTCTTTATCCCAAGGGAAAATATATAATCCTTTAACACCTCTTGTTAGTAAGACATTCAAAGAATTTAATATAATCTTTTCTTTAACTTTATCAACATTATTTATATTCTTCTTCTTAGTGAAACCTGCATTATCATCATGAAATTCTGGTTTAATTTTCAATGAATCAGTACTTGCATCATAACCAATTGATCTACCCAATATTATACCTGCATAATTCAGATCAAATCCTTGAATTGTATAAACTGAACCAACTTCATCAATGGTATCATCTCTTTCTGACCATGGAGTTGTTAATTGTGGTAAATATCTATCCCAGCGTAATTTAAACTCATCAGAATCTGAAGAAACAAAATAGTCCTTCCCATCTAATCTATATGGGAAATCATAAGTTGCAAGTATACGTGATTGACCAAACTCTGCATTTTTTTCTTTTATAGAATCATACATTTTTTGACAATTCTCAAAAATTTTAAAATCAAAAGTTTTAGATTCTGCATCTGATAATGGTAATGGTAGGATTTTCTTTGTTGTTGATATTTCTGTTGTCCAATTGATTAAATCTGGTTTAGCTGTTATTCTAAATTGTTTTGTTAAGTTAAAAGTTTCGAATTGTGCTAAATTCGAATTGTTTAAGAAGCTTGTAAGAGATGCACCATCTGATTTCCCCTTTTTAAGATCATGATCTAATGTCCAATATGAACCCATTCTTAATGATTGTTTATCATCAAATACAATGATTATAACTTTTGAAATCTTGATCAATTCTTCTAGATGATTTTCTTGGTTGAATCTTTTGAAAGCATCTTTAGCAGTAGCTAATAAGTGAGCTTCATCAATGATTAAAACATCAACTTTTTCTTGTTTGGGTGATTTGTTAAAATTATTGATTAAAGAAGTTGGTCTTTCCAAGTCAGATTTGGAAATATATGGGAATTGTTTAGAAATTTGATGATATAATTTTAACATTTCTGGATGATTAACTACTAGAGTATTCTTGGTGTTTGATAAAGTTTTCCCCTTTTCTGTTCTTGATATTTTCTGGATTTCATTGAATAAAGAGTTTAATATAACTGATTTACCAGTACCAGCATCACCATTTATAATGAAAACTGAAGGTTTTGATTCATAATTTTCAAGACCTGTATTGATGAAATTCAAGATTTTAGATTTAAGAAATATTTGTTCATCTGATAACTCAATTTGAGAAATCTTCTTCACAGCAGCACTTGGAACAAATGGTTCATTATTTCTACTTTTATAATTTGATCTACCAGGTTGATTATAAGATTTCTTTGTTTTAGAAGTTGAATTACTAAAATTTGAAGTTCTTTTCTTTACGGTGGTGAATTGATTATCTGTAGTCATGATGGCCTTCTTGATATTTTTAGTATAGTTTTTGAAGTTTCGATTCATAAGAAGCCAGTAAGTGATCTGGAATCTGGAAACACTATCAAATCAAATAGACTGAAAGGTTAAATGAATTTAGATCGAATGATCTAAAGTCCGCTAGAAGCTGCGTACCTATAGTACTTGACTTCAAAGTAGTGGCCCTGAACAATTTTGTTTTATCACCTGACCGGTCACCTGATATTGGCTTTAAGACGCTTACCTCATCATGACATCATTTGCAGCCAAAAAAAATTCGAATTTTTTAAAAATTTTAAAGTTGACAAAAAGAAATGAAAATCACCAGCTAAAATCTTATGCTCCACAAAAATTCAAAAATGTTATCCACTCGACTCTTAAGACTGAAATAACCTTATAAGCTACCAAGATGAGCGCTATTTTGCGAGTGATATTACAAATTTCACCGCAAGGCCGCAAGCATGTTTTAATTTCTAGTTGGGTTTACTGGTTTGGTTTACTAGAAGCTAGTTAATTTTCTTGGAGAGACCAATTATACGTTCGTTGTTTATCGGTATTGACTCGCGTAGCATGAACAGCCTTTCGTCATTTATCGCCTGTTAAACAAATATCTGGAGATTAATGGCAATTGCGAATTGATCATAAGTGACCACTGACTGTAGTTAGTGGTACTAGTCCTTTAGCCATACACTGAACAAGTGTACCATCAGACATTGTCATTGGCCATAAGTATAATCTTAATTAAAGTAGTCGTATCATTCACGCTAGTAGCTACCCAGTTCTGGCATTGCTAGCGTTTCACTGGTGATCAACACAACTAGCTGATCAACACATCAACTCATCAAAAGTTAGAACCAGGAATATAATCCATAATCAACACAAATAAATGCTAAAAATACTAAACCACAACGCCTAATCTCACTTAAACCACATGACAACCATTAGAAATTATCCCTGAATTGACGGTAACTCTTTGAATGATTACTGGCTTAAATTTCCAAATACGCTGTGCTTCTCATTTTTTCCGTACACGCACAGCCCAAGAAATTTAATTTTTGCTGGACTGCTGACGTAAGCATCGCGACTCTCTTTTTTTTTTGGGAACCCCTATTCTCACTTCTCATCAAGAGAAATCACATTTTCAAATTTACATTTTTATAAACTCAAGATTCCATATAAAAAATTTAAGGATTCCTTTACTGCTGCATTTTAGTATTTTGCTATATATATTTTTGCTTCATTGAAGGGTTAATTGATTGTGATATTACACATTATCTTCACGTCTGCTCATACATTCTTCATTACTTGACTGAGAACTAATTGGTTGTTGTGGTATTCTTGTTTATATTTTGTGTTTTTTTTTTGTCTAGGAGAAAAAACCGCTGGGAAAAAATTCCATATAGTATAAAGTATAAACATTGAGCTCAAATCCAAATTTTTTAACATCAATTTTATCAAGATTTTTTGCATATAACATATAATTTTAATATAATTCAAATGAAAATATGAGAAAAGAACTACAATTCCTTATATCTGTCCATTTGTTTATCATATTATTTCTTGTTTATCAAACATTTGATTTAATAACTCTGATATATGATGATACATTTGAAGATGCTTTAAATTCATTAGATTTACATCCAAAAGTTGCTAAACCTGAATTAATTCCAAAAATTATTCATCAAACTTATAAAGATACAAATATACCTTCACAATGGCAAAATGGTCAACAAAGATGTATTGATTTACATCCAGATTATCAATATATTTTATGGACTGATGATATGGCTAGAGAATTCATTAGTGAAGAATATCCTTGGTTTTTAGAAACTTGGGATAATTATAAATATCCTATTCAAAGAGCTGATTCTATTCGTTATTTTGCCCTAAGTCATTTTGGTGGTATTTATATTGATTTAGATGATGCTTGTGAAAAAAAATTGGATCCTTTATTAACTGTTCCAGCTTTTGTTAGAAAAACTATTCCAACTGGTATTTCAAATGATGTTATGGGATCTGTTCCAAAACATCCATTTTTCTTGAAGGCTATTGATAATTTACAACGTTTTGATTGGAATTATTTGATTCCATATGTTACAATTATGTATTCAACTGGTCCTTTATTCCTTAGTGTTATTTGGAAACAATATAGACGTTGGAATATCATTCCAGAATCTGGTAAAGTTAGAATTTTATTCCCAGAAGATTATAAAAAACATACAGATTCATTTTTTTCATATACTGAAGGTTCATCATGGCATTTAGATGATGCTAAATTTATCAAAAGTTTAGCTCATCATATTGGATTATGTGTTTTCATTGGATTCTTAGTTGCTGGTATTTTATTATATGGTGAATATAGATTATATGTTTGGTTAATTAATGGTGGTTATAAATCTTCATTTTTAAAGAAATGTTGGAATAAAGTTTTCAATAAAAATCAAAATATTAAAAGAAATAGAAAAAATTCAAATTTACCAAGAGCTGAATCTATTCTTTTATATTCAAAAGAAGTTGAAGATGTTTAATCATTAAAATAAAAACCATGCATAACTAAAAAACATCATATATCATATCATATTATCATATATCAAAAGTCATAATTTGTTATTTTTGCTTTTTCATTCAATATTATACAAATTTTCAAATAACGACATTATTTACATTTTTTTACACACACACACATACACACAAGCATGAATAATATTTAATTACCTCTATTTTTTTTAATTACAATTGTTGCTTAGATCTCAAATACATCCAAAGATGTTTTGAGTGTTTGGTTTTTTTCCTCAATTTGCTTGTTATATCACATTTTAATTGTTATTATTTTGCTTTTTTGCTAATTCAATTGGTTTTCAATGACTAGTTTTTTTCATTTGGTGTTTTTTAATACTTGTACAATATATTAGAAATCTCTATTAATCATGAGATTATTATTAAGAATTAAGGATTAGAGAAAAAGAAAGAGAAATTTTGGGATGAGAAGAATTCTATCATAATTATTATTATTTAATTTTTTACACATTATTATTATATTACTTTTTTTCATATTTTTAATTCATTCATGTGATGTTTAATGACACTTTTCAATACTTTATACACATTTATACGTATCAAATTACATTACTGGGATAATATTGTAGATTTAAACTAGATCCTAGCTCTAATTATCGATCAATTGTGTACTCTATTATATATAGTATGACTTTTAGAAGGGCCGCTTATGGCACATGAATTCTATTATAAAGGTCTACCAGCTACCGGCAGCTGTTAAGTAGCTCTTTAACCGCCCATGGGCATTAAACAACAAACAGCGCCTATAGCTTTTGTACTTCTGTAAAGATTAATATCAATTAAGATGGTGAGCTTCCCGAGGTTCTTCCTCTTGGACTAGAATACAATCTCAATTTAAAGATCAATTTTAATATCAATTACAATTTACCAGAGAGCTAAATCTCACAAATAACAAACCTTAAACTCTCTTTCAGAAAACCTAATTTTTAGATTCAATTCTGATAGTTATTTACACTTGTTTACAAACGCGCTAAATCTTATTCCGTGTACGTTTGTTCAACATTCTCGGTTGTCATGGATATTATTTTTGATCCGAATCATAAACAAAAATTATCATCACTTGGACAACGTCAACTTAAAATATACCCATTACCCATTACCCATTACCCATCAGTTATCAGTTATCAGTTATATGTTAAATATTACGGTATACGTGTTCTGTAAACGTCAAACTCAAAGTGCAAGCTTCAAACCTAGCTTGAAAAGGTTGAAAATTTTTCTATAAAGTATAGTGCGTGTAATATCATGTAATGGTATATGGTACGATGGTACGATCATTGATGTATACAGCTAAATATATCATCAACTTTTGAAGCACTAGTCACGACTCATGGAATCAGACATATACATACCCAGAGAAGTTGAGCTATTCGAGAATTTTCGTCAACAATCACTTAAGTAATTAGCTAGCTAAGTAAAAGCAGTATCAATATTCGATTGCTGAATAATCATTGTATGATACTTATAGCATTTTATAATTTTTCATAATAGTATCAAATTCATCGAAAAGGACTACTTGAAAAGAGTAATAACTTACGAAAACCCATTTAATGAAAACCAAAAACAATATAAACAAACTAACAATAAAAAATTTAACAAATTTTGTACAACGTCGTATAAAAAAAAAGTCTTTTAAAAATAAATCACAAAATATTTATAATACATGAAATCTAATTTGTTTCCAATAATTATAAAATTTAACCTTGTAATTGAGCAGTAGAGGCTGATTTGTTGATCCAGTTTGAAACTGTTGATTTAGATAAACCTGAAGAGAAATCATCATCAACTTCGACAACGTGAATAGTACCATCATCTTGGAAGATAGCAGCACCTTTGAATGAACCAGAAGTTGGTCTTTGGAAGTAATCTTGAGAACCACCACCACCGTATGATGAACCATCGTTACCTTGACCATCGTGTAAGTGAGAAATTAATTTTTCTTGACCTTCAGTTAAGACTTCAAATAAATCTAATTCACCACAACCAGTTGACCAACATGAACATTTTGAGTTACCATATTGTAAAGTTCTTGGAATTTTAGCATTTAATAACCAAATAGCTGGCATATCTGGGTTTGAAGCACCAGATGATGATGAATCATGAGGCATTTCAAATTCAAAAACAAAGATTTTTGAAGCACCACCGAAACCATGGAAAGCTGGAATTTTTGATCTTGTGTAACCACAGTCACCTTTTGATTTATCAGAACATGATGAGCCTGAGAAGATCATGAATTCTTCATCTGATTTGAAAGTAATTTCATCTAAAGCTTCAGCACTAGAAGCACCATCTTTACCGTTTGAAGCAGCATAAGAGATTGAGTTACCGAAACATGATGACCAAGTACCTGAACCTGAACCACCTTTGTAGTTCATGAAAGTAACATTGTTGGTACTACCTGGTGAGTAGTAAGCAACTCTTTCCCAATCACTTGAAGAACCTGAACCACTTGAAGATGATGATGATGGAGAAGATGATGATGATGATGATGATGAACCAGCACCTGAATCAGCAGATGAAGATTGTAAGGTAGTAGTTGAAGATGGAGATGATGAAGCTTGTTCTTGTTGAGCAGAAGTTGATGATTGAACTTTCTTATCAACGACTTCGGTTGGTTGTTGATCAGTTGATTGTTGATCTTGAGCACTTGAGGTAGCTTCGGCTTCTTGAGTGGCAGCTGAAGTGACTAAGTTACCATTACCATCAACGAAAACAGTTTGAGTAACTTCAACAACTTTGGTAGCAGCTTCTCTTTTATGAGCGTGATGAACATGTCTAGTGGTGGTACAATCTTCAGCACCTTCATCTCTTTTTTGGTTTGATGAAGAACCTGAACCTGGATAGTAAACACCAAATTGTAATAATTTTAATGGACCTCTGAAATGGACAGATAATTCTTCATCTAATGGAGCATTGGTACCTGAGATTGATGTTGATTCTTGAGAACATTGACATGAGCTTTCATCCATGTTGGTAACATCTTGGTATGAACCTTTGTAACCAACATTTTGGTAGACAATAGCTTCTGTTTGGTCACAGTAGTAGTTACCACTAACAAAAGAACAACCAGCTTCAACTGAGGAAACGACAGCCAATAATGATAATAAAACAGTTTGAGCTAACTTCATTATAAATTATTGAACAACAAAAAAGGGAATGAAATGAATGAATTGATGTTTTTCAAAAACTTTTGATCAAAATAAACTTGGAATCACAATTAAATAATCTAATATGAAATTGAATGAATGTATAGTAGTGAGTACTTTGAACTTCTCTCTTGTAGTTGGAATCTTTTAAATAAAGGAATGACTAAAGGTTAGAAAAGAGAGGAAAGTTTTGATGTTAAAATGTAATCAATTAAAGATCTATTGATACACGTATAAGATCCTGTACTAAATTTATGTGTAAAGGGGCTTTTCCTTTGTTTATTATAATTGAAAGGAGTGGAGGATACGTTTCATATTTATACAATCTTCAAACATTCTTGAATCCTCACCACTAGATTTTCAAAATGTAAACAACATATCTGCACAGAAAAAAGGAACTTTCTGTAGATGTTTGCAGTTTCATACAGATCCAGTCGCGTTTTGCACCACACAGAGCTACGGTTCATCCAGCATACCTTCCTTTTTGGGTAATTTTTAAAACATTCACGAAATTAAAATTGATGCAACTTCGTGATTTCGTCTTTTCATCCTTTGCGCTCTACGAAAACTTGGCTGGTGTATCCCAGGTGAGGTGGTATTTTCCCGATTTGATATGATCCTGCCTTACCAGTTCTGCCCAGCGCTTTCGAGTTCCAGACAGAACAAGTTTATAACGCGCCCTTAGCTTGTTTGTTTGTTAGGCAGAGGTAGACGAAGAGCCAGCGTTTTAACATTTGTGACTGGTAAGGATTTGTTACCACTCACTGCTCAGAGATTATGAGTTGAATAACTGAAGCCTGCAGCTGCTTCAAACGGTCTGGAATCGTGATTAGGCGACTGGCTTCTTTAAAGGCCAAGTGGAAATGCTGATAAAAAAGTATAGAAATGTTTCTCCATGTCCGTGGTTATAATTGTTTGAGATTTTTTCCTTTGAAGTTTGAACCTTGGAAATTTTGGGCCCAAGAATTTCGAGTGTTCTCTAAATTTTTATGCTGACGCTGGGCAGTGGGAACTAAAAATTTTTGCATCTAATCGGACCAATTTTTACACAGGTCTCAGAGATGAACAAAAGTGTACGCTGGTATAGATCTCTTTGAGGTGTGCTTATAATATTTTTACTGTCCGTAGTTGTAACTTGTAACTTGTTGTCAATTTGTGTGTTGTGTGTTGTGTGGCAGTTCTAGCACTGAGGTATCAGGATTCAGAAACTACCACTAGTTATTAGTTAGTAGTAACTAAGCTGGTTACTCCGGGATTCCTCCCTTACTACATAGCAATCCAGTGTTCAGTGTTCAGTGTTCAGTGTTCAATGTTCACTAAAAAGCCTTAGATGGATCAGCAATTACTGTTTAAATCGTGCTTTAGTGATCTGTTTTGTTGTTGTTTTGAAAATCATATATAAGAATTGTTTGATCGTACTAGAAATTTTCTTTACAAAGTAGGAAATTAGCAAAATCTCTTTCAGCAGTTTAAAAGGAAGAGAACAGCCTCTAATCAATTTATGACGTCTGAAGCCTATATTGGCCCTTGAGTTTTGAAAGAAAATATTACTCTAGTGTTTGATCGATACACTTATAAGCGATTCGATCATTAATTACATGACATTCGTAATGTATCTGCGTATCTACTATCAAGTTTCAAAACCTAGTCATTTTTTAACATCAACCTACAGTTACACATATCAACTGCTATTAAAAGTTCTTGGAAGACAAACGTACTTGATTTGAAAATTGACATCTCTCCTGAGTCCTGAGTCCTACTATTATGGAAATTAAAATATACGACCAGGTATACGTTATACCGGTATACCTATTACCTACAAGCTACTGGGCTATATAATACGTCTCACGTCTTAATTAAATACATGAAGCTACGTCACTTTAACTCGACACGAAGAATCTCTGTATTATATTTTTTAGCATGTAGATTTTTTAAAACCTGGCCTATTAAAAACTTAAAACTAGATCAACCAAATTTACTAAATTGAGTCAATAATTTAAGTGGTGATACATAGCAAAAGTGCTGTTAGAAGTTGGAACCTTACATAGAAAGACTGTCCTTGACATGCCGGTTACGCGTCTATTAAACTTTGAAAGCGGATATATCTGTAGTGAGATTGAAAGCACCTATGATATCTACATAATCTAAAGTTTCAACGTCTCTGTTTGTGATTTAGCGATTTAGTTATGGCCTCTGATTCGTGAATCGTGTATCTATTAAAATTACTAGCGTAATGCTCGATTTTAAAGTATCAAGATCGATCTAAAATCTTTAGTGTGTCTCTAAAGAGTTTAAAGTTTAATTCTATCTAAAATTTAAAAGCCTAAAGCTTATTACAAATCATGATCGCCTCATATCTGCCAGATCAATCATCATAGTATCAACACCAGGGGTATGTTCAAAGAGAGAACAGCTAGTGGGCTCGGAATGATTAAGCGCACTATTGCATTATATAGTGGTATTTAATAAGTAGTAAGCTAGTTCCAACGCCCCACTACTACTAGCTGTGATAACTGAGAAATGTCAATTAGATTACAATAACACTATGACATAGCCTTTCAATTTTATTTAATTTTTCACATTCACTTATTTACCTTGGTCTAAACCGCTTAACATCAAATACGTCTGAAATTTATTTCTATCATGGTTAGTTCTAGACTGTAGAGTACCAATATCGGTTCTATGTTCTTTCATGTTCCGTCTTAAAATATGAGTTTTTGTAAATGGTGGCCGTCGATATCTTGGTAATTTTCAAAGGCTAGATTTGAAGGTAGTATATTGAAATGGTTACGAGAGAGCTAACTCGCCGCAGCTTCAATAGTTAATTGGTAAAACTAAAACCGTTTAAAGATTTTTAATGAATTATTGACATTTAACGGCAGAGTGAAGGTCAAACAGCTTTAGATTTACATATTAAGTTGTCGCTTTTAAGAAGTAATTCTATACGTAGTTGAATAAAAGTAGGTCGCAAGCTGTAACGGTACACTACCTTTGTGGTAAACCATGCACTGTGCAGCCATATTGAAAGAAGTATTAAAGAGGTTCATACAACACGAAACCGTTGAAATTTTTCACGACAAGCTGTTACAACTTACTTGCACATCGCATATAATTAAAGATATCATAAATTAGATATCATAACAAGAGCATCCATATCATATAGGTATAGAAATTTCGTATCTAAAAAACAAACAACGTTTAAGTTGTTTGGTTCCCCCTATTGGCGTAAGATCTTTGAAGATACAATATTAAAGGAAATTTTGAAAAGAAAATTTTCTGAAGTAAAATATTTGGGCTTTTAATCTATGTCGGTAGATGCATATGCCGACCTTAATTACTTCACCAAATCAGGAAAGTTTCTGATTTAGGTAATCTAAGTTCATACATCATCTTTTATGTATCTCTTAATTATCTGGATTCTGGACTTTGAGTTTGGACTTTGTAGGTTGTAGGTGAACAAATTCGAAAGCTGAAGTACTGATCTTTGAGTGCTTGAATTTTTTTGATTCATGAAGCTGGACCTGGTAGTTATGGGATCCAAAAAGGAAATCTCCATAATATCTCATAATTTAAAGGTTTGATTGATTCTTTGATTTTCAATGTTTGTATATGTTTAAACTAATTTATATATTATAAATATTATGTTGCATTGTGAGAACCACATCACTTAATAAACTACTTGTGGTTCCCACAATGGCCGGGTAGTTCATTGTAGGAACAAAGTTGTACTTAATACAATATTGTATAAACCACATGTACTTCTTCCGTATTGTCATAACCACACATGGTTCCCACAATATTGTCGAATCCACATACACTTATCACAATATTTTTCTAACCAAATATACTTATCACAATATTTCAATAACCACGCAGCTAAGTTATATTGCCCTTGATACTCAACATATCAGATATAATTAAATCAACAGACAAATTTTATCAATCGAAAGTCTACACCAGGAAGCTTGATAAGCTATACTTCAAAAAAACCTATATTGTGCAGCTCATTAACCATTTTTCGTACTAGCTGATCAGTGAAGTATATAATGTCGTGGAACCCGAAAGCACTAATATACAAATCGATTCAATCCTTCAATGAAGCTCTAAAGTCAGATAATCAGCTAGTCATTTAGTGTCTAGTTTATAAAGATTACTGCAGTTGGTTCATTGTAGTTCAGCTCTCTCTATAATAGCGGACAAATTTGAAATATATTGCAATTCTCAGAGAAAATATGCAACAATATTTACAGCTAATATTGGAATTCCAACAGTATTATATCATCATTACCAATATTCCTTGTTTGTTTAATGAGCATATTGATGTGATCAGCTCAATAGATCAGAGTTATCCAATACGTCTTAATCTATATACATCTAACCAGCTTCAATTGCACGATTCGCAATCATATCGGAGTAAGCAGCTATAACAATTTTATAAAGAAATATACGTTACTTTAGTGCGGCACTTAAGATATTAATATAATTCCAGTTACCTAATATATAATAATGAATGTAAAATCTAAACGGTTATAAAATAATCTTGGACCTAACACTAGATACTCCTGATTCTTTGACATAATTGTGCACTTGATTATAGTTTTCGTCAAGATGTGGTTATTGAAATGTGGTAGGAAGTATATGTGGTTAGTAAAACATTGTACAAAGTATAGGTACCTCCGACAATATTGTAGGAAGTGTGTGTGGTTATGACAATATGGTGAGAAGTACATGTGGTTTCCCAACGTTGTAGGAAGTACATGTGGTTTACACAATATTGTAGGAAGAACTTGTGGTTCTACCCGGCGAATGATGTGGTTCTCACAATGCAACATAAATATAATTATAATATTAATTATCTTGCTTATGTAATCAAACATTTTAGCAATAATGAATTTAAATAAATATGGTAGCATATAGCTTTTCTTAGAGAAAAACATCAGTTTTATAAAAGTTTATTGCTAATGATATAACTAAAGCTTGAATTAAGGTGTTTATGAGGAAAAAAAATTATAAATCTTAATATATTTGAGAAAGTCAACCATGTAAATTTTATATTCACTTTAAATTTAAAATATTTAAAAAAAGTTAAAAATTTTTTCTTCGAAAAACAGTTCAAAATATGCATTTGGATATGAATTAGCCGGATTTTAACTTAATGGTGATTTTTATTACGCATATTTTCTTTAAGTTTTGTTGAAATTGATTGATTTCATGTGCGTTTAATGTTCACTTTAATATATTATATAATATATTGGCTTTTGAACCCGGAAGTCGATATATTGTGCAGTAATAACACGTAGTAACTTAAAACTTTTTAATTTATTTATTAAGCTAGTACATCGAAAAAAAACCTGGTAAACTTTGAATATCTGAGGTGGCAAAGATAAATTATATTAAAAGCCATAGAATGAAGAATGCTAATTGCAACGAAAGGCAATTAGATCAATTAGATCTTTAACCTCACGAGTCGGAATTGGAAAGTCAAGTACGTCGACTTTAAGATTCCATATAAAAATCTAAAATCCGTTTTTGTGTCACTTCAAAAATTAATATTTGAAATGTTTTGATTTTGTTTAAATTTGTTTTGAACTCAAAGTCAGACACTCACGATGGTTATTTTGAACATATCCTTAAAAGTTACAAGGCGGTAGTTGAAAGTAACAAGGAAAGAAGGTATTCAGTTATTATGGTGAAGATCGTCTCTGCTTTGACTGTGTTGGCAGTTGTTTCAAGGATTTGTAACGCGTTAGTCCATCCAATTGGTATACATGGAAGGTATTTCATAGATACAGTTACAAGGGAACCATTTTTTATTAAAGGTGTTGACTATCAACCTGGTGGATCATCAGGGGTTAATGATTATCAAGATCCTTTGTCAGATCCAAATGCTTGTGCTCGTGATGTTATCCTTTTTCAAGAATTGGGGGTTAATGTAAATAGATACCAGAATTTTTAATATTGTTATTCAGCGTCATTTACTAACTGCTTTAAAGACTATTAGAGTCTACTCTATTAACCCAGATCTTAACCATGATACATGTATGACCCTTCTTGCTTCAGCCGGAATTTATTTGGTCTTAGATGTCAATTCACCTTTAGAACATCAACATTTGAATAGATATGAACCTTGGACAACTTACAATGAGTACTATTTGGAACATGTTTTTAAAGTTGTTGATCAATTCTCTGGATATAATAATACCCTTGGGTTCTTTGCTGGGAATGAAATTATTAATGATAAAAAGTCTGCAAGAGCTTCACCAGTCTTTGTTAAGAAATTGATCTCAGACATGAAAGGTTATATCAGTCTGCATTCAGAAAGATTCATCCCGGTTGGTTATTCAGCAGCTGATGATTTAAGTTACAGAGTATCATTATCTAAATACCTTGAATGTTCCAATGAAAAATCCATTCAAGACTCAGTCGACTTTTACGGTGTTAATACTTATCAATGGTGTGGTGAACAAACTTTTTACACCAGTGGTTATGACGTTCTTGTTGCTGATTATGAAAATTATGCCCGTCCTGTATTCTTCTCAGAGTTTGGCTGTAATGAAGTGACCCCAAGATTATTTGAAGAGATTGGAACCATGTTTTCTAATGATATGATTGGTGTTTTTAGTGGTGGTTTGGTCTACGAATTCTCCCAAGAACCAAATAATTATGGTTTAGTTGACTATGACCAATATGGTAATGTTCAATTGTTACAAGATTTCGAATCTTTGAAAAACCAATACACCACCACAGAACTTCCTACTGGAAGACAAATCGCTGAGCTTTATAGTAACGAAGGAAAAATTCAGAAGTTGGGTACACAGTCAGTTCCTGAATGTGAGGATGAGTATGTGAATTTAGAAATCACAAGGGAAGTAGAGGACAGTATTGGAGAAGGTTTGATTACTGATGGTGTTGATGTTAAGAGAGGTCAATTTGTGATTTTGAGTGAAGAAGACCTTTTCACAACATTTAATATTACAAACTATGATGGAACTCCGTACGAGGGTAGTGATCATGTTCAAGTTGAGACCCTCATTGATGGTATTTCTGAATATGAGGCTTCACGTTTATCTTCAATCGAAAGTGATGGTGAGTAAATTTTTTTGAATACCCCTTTGTTTTTCAATCTTTTTGTTTTTGATACTGAAAGCTTTAAAAGATTAATTTATCTGATAAAAAATCTTTTAAAGAGGTTTTCAGTCTGATTGATAAATTATAAAGATCAAAATTAACAATAACAAGAAGATTGCGATGATGATAATGAGGAAGAGAAAAGCCCAGAATATTAACATGTTCCAATTAGGGAGTAGTATCAATGATAAATCACACAAAATTTTAGAATTGTTAATTTTTGTTTCTATTTGTGGCTACATTTATCTATTTTGAGGACTTTTCGTGAGATATCAAAAATTAAACTGAAACATTTGTTGATCGAAGAGATAGAACATAAATAAAATATACAACTCAAACAATAAAACGTAATTTTCATTATCTAGTATTTTTTGTGAATAAAACCGACCCATCCCTATCTTTCACTTTAACCGAATTGAAGTTAGTGAAACAAGGACGCAATAATGATTCCCAATCGTTCTTTGTTCTTGATTGATGTAATTTGTAATTTTTCAGCATTATGAATTCAACATTTGAATATTTAGAAAGGAACTTTAGAAAGCTGTATAAATTGTTGTTAACCAAGTTATTATTTTCTTCATCACTTATACTATCAGGGTCAATTGGTACCAAGTTGGTAAACGAAACACTAGTTAAAGTAATCTTATTAACCAAGGGAAGCTTATTAATAATATCTTCAAATTTATTATAATTGATGTAAAATTTCGGAACAAACATCGAATTGAAATAAGCAAAATTGGAATTGAGATTATCAACATTTATAGAATTTGCCTCAGCTGGATTATAAAGACTAAAACCCTTTGAGTTCAAATCTATTGATATTTCTTCCAAATTTGCAAAACAATGACTTAGTAATAAATCATAATGAGATTTCAAATTTATTAATTTTAATTCTGTAACTTGTTTGAAATATGACATTAATAATCTTGATCCTGAAGTTGCAATTGAACATGAAGATAACGTCAGTATCTTTATTGGTGACCATGTTATTCTATTTTCCACTGATAATGATTCTCTAGTAACCAATGGACCACTTTCATTTGATAATGTTAATAGATTTGGTTTTGTCAATGAGCTGGAATCTATAATCATATCAGATAATTCCAATTCTTCAATCAATCCAAATGGCCACAATAAATTTGGACGTAATGCAATGTTCCAACCAGATTCTGATGACAATGATAATTTCTTGATTGATGGATAATAATTATGTTCATGAGCATAAGTTTTCAAGGTACTTGACCAATCAGGAAATTGAAACCCTGGTTTTATTTCACTTATTTTGATTTCTGAGATATTGGGCAGTAATGAAATGATTTCTAGCATGATATAAATATAACTTTCAGGATCTCTACTTGATGAGTATTCAAATCCTGCAATTGAGGTAGTTTCTGTCTCTGTAGAATCTTTAATTGGACGATTAAACTCAATATTTCTGACATATAATGATAATAAATTAGTTTTCTTGTGTTTAGAAATTGTTTTTCTGAATCTGTGTAGAGTATCTTTGGATCCTAATTTAACATCATGATATAAAAAGAATATGTCTACAAAATCATGAAGGTATCGACATGACAAGCAAAGTACTAGCCAGTCTTTATACTCCAGATTTTGTACAATCTTGTACAGCAATTCTGTCGGTAGTCCCAACAATGTGTTTGGTGAATATTCTATTGGTACCCTTTCAGGACTTTGGCTTCTTCTATCAGAGAAGAAAAGCTTTCGTTTCTTTGTAAACTGCTGAAGTCTGGATATCATGATTATGTACTTGCTTGATGCTTGGTGTATAGATCTACCCTTTAAATTGTGGCTTTATTTGAGTTTACTTTTCTTCGTTACTGTAGCAAACACAACCTAGCTGTTGAAATACTTATACTTGTGAACCACAATCTATGATCTGTGAATTAACAAATAAGTAACAGTTTATATGACAGTAAGAACAATTCACCGTAAGAACAAGGTATTTCGCAATTCCTTTAATTTCAAGCTCTTAATTTTGGATCTTACATAGAAAAGAAATTTTTGGGATTTTTGCATTGGCCACAAATTAAAATATGCCACATGAAAGAAAGGCTGGTGAAAACCAATTCGCGGAAATCTTACGTATATAAATCTGAGAGAAACATTTTATACCAATAAACAAAACTTTTATTATAAACGCAAAACCCAAAATATTATATTATACAAGAGAAAAGAGGCATTCGAAAACAACTTAGTAGACGAAACCTAAGATTTTACCAGAAACATGTTTTCTTCTAGCTTCTTCATGGTCCATAATACCAGCTGAAGTGGTTAAGATAACGTAACCAAATTGTCTAGCTGGTAATAAGTTATCAGTCCATTTTTCGATGTCAGCAATTCTAACGTTGAATCTTGGGGAGATAACACCAACTTTGTTTAATCTACCGTTTAATTGAACAACAATTTTACCTGATCTGTGGTCATCAATGTATTCAAATTCACCAATGTAACCTAAATTAAAACTGTTAGTAAAACTTGAATTTAAGCAAGTGATCTATTCAAGAAAAAAAAATCCCAGTAAAGAATGAGAAATGTAACAGAGAGCTGATGACCATTCAATGATTATTGTACCAACGAGTGATACCCATCAAAGCATGAAACTATCAACCCATCTTTAGTTGCTTTCCCCGACACTTAAAAGACAGAAAGGGACTGAACACCGATCAATCCATCCAGTTATCAGCCGGGATATTCTATATATTGATGTTCATCTACTTAGGGATCACTTTTTGACTTGAATAAAATTTAAAAAAATTCATCACATACCATGTCTTTGGATAACTTGTAAGAATTTGATGATAACTTTTGATGATGGTCTGATTAAAACTTGACGTTTACCAGTTTTTTCAGCATTGTTAATAGCGTTTAAAGCATCAGCTAAGGCAGAAGTTCTAGTCATTTTGAATCTAATAATATATAGTTAGTACAACTGATTCAGAACAAAACTTGTAAAATAAAGAGCAACATGAGTATCCTCACTTTAGTAAAAATGGGAGTCATGAGCACAGGATGATGTTGAATAAACAACTCAACCTGCTGAAGGGGGGTGTCAAGGCAAGTAACAACGTAAAGTAGAGCGTTCTTCAGAACTTTTTATCCGTTTACTAATTGTTCCAAACGATTTGATTCCCACTTCAGATTCATAGGTTTTATTCTTGAATCTCATTGGAATAATATTATTCCAACTATTAAAGGTCACATCAATAGCTCATTCATTGTATAATAATAAATATCACACATACTATTTGATTGATTTGTATGTATCTTTGATGTTTTGAAGAGTTTGTTATAAAGTAAACGCTGAAAAAGTGAAAAATTTTTATATGAAAAAAGCGTTCAAGGAATTCTGGTTCCGATAATTACGCATCTTGTGATCAAATATGCGTAACAAACAGAATGGTGTTTAAAAGGGAAATGGTTTTTGCGATGGGCTCGGATAGAAAATCAAAAGGTAAATAGATCAAATCACGTATAAATGACATATAGATCAAGTGATTGAAATATCACCCCAGGATGACAATTGAAGAGGATAAGAGAGTATTTGGGGAAGTGAGTATCTGATATACTATTTCATGAGAATCTTGTGACTAACATTTCAAGATACGACCTTATTGTGTTGCTTTATCTCAAATCGCTTTGGCTCCAGATGGAATATTTGATGGGAACTCATCAAGGACTACACAGGCTTTGAAAGATCTTTATACACATTTTGACCATGTTATACGACCTGACTCACAAATTTCAGCCAACCTAGCAGATTATGTGTTTGTTCCATTGTCATATTTATTAAAACAGCCTAAATTAGGTGATGTTCAATTAGAGCTTTTATTAAAGATATTATCATTATTAATCAAACATTGTTGGACAACTCCTAAATCTATTCCTTATGTTTTAGCTAAACAACTCTTTCCCTTGATAACGTTTTTGACTGGAGGTAGCCCCAATACAGAAGACAAAACAGAAATCAAATCCAAATCATCGGAATTGAAATTAGCAGGATCTATAGCATTAGAATATTTCTTTCATTCATTATCCAAACAAAAAGATGCCAAAGTATTTGATTTTTTCTCAAACGTGGAAAATTTGCCAGCTTTAGGTCATGCTGTTACTGTACTTCTTTACTTTGCTGAACACGGACAGTCTGTTGAGCTTCAATTACAGGCTATAAAAACACTTGACACATTATTTTTCAAATTAATCAAAGATGGTGAAATACTTTCATACATTTTGCCTGGTAATGTATCAACATTGACCAAGATTATTGCTGTACCAGCTTTGAAAACTCACTATACAGTAATGATTGACGCTATTACACTTCTTGGTGATTTATTGATAATGGTATACAAAGATGAAGAATTAAAACCTAAAATCAATGAATTGGAATCCATTGAGGATGCCCTTGAAGGGACAGAATTAGATGTGATCACTATTGAAGAAGCTGATTTAAAAAAGGTTCATCGTACAAATGCATGGCTAAAGGCTACATCAAGTCAAGTTAAAATTGCATTACAAAGCTTTAAAAAGATAGGATTCAATGTGAGGGTCGAAGTCAAAAAGACACTTTTAACGTTTTCTCAGTCTTTACTAAAACATTGTTTGTTTTCATTGAAAAGCTCTATTCCAATAGTGGTATCAATGATCTCTTTTCTTTCTAATGATCCAAGATTAAAGATTGAACCAAATAAAACTTTATCACTTTCAGATACAAAGAATCAACAAATTTTAAACAAAATTATATCATCTGAACTTGATTCAAGTGTCAATTCATTCATATCTGTGATACAATCACCAAACGAAGAAAGAATTATAAATACATTAGGAGCAATTGAATTTTCACTAAGGCATTCATACGATCAATTGTTGGTAAAGAAGCTTATAGAGACTACAAGAATTGAAATGGCCGATATGTTAAGGAAAACCTGTTCAAAATCAAAAGTTCAGAGTATATCTAATGGTGCTATCGATTTAATGGTCATTAGTAAAGAAGTATCAGAATTTCCTAGTGACACAAAATTGAGCTCAATTTTTGGTAAGATTTTCTCAGAAAAGGTCGAGAATAAACTTTCACATCTGTATAATATCATAGGTAGCTTGAGTGACCCATCTGAGAATATTGAAGAGCTATTGGTTGATGACTATGGTACAAATTATGAAAAGGCTATTGCACTTTGGATCTCTAATAATTTGTTAAATGGACATTTTGAAAAGTCGAGACCAGAAAGAATTGCTGACGAATTCTTAGATTTTGAAGAGGAGGAGATGGCTTTACAAGAAACTCCAGAATCAGCATATTTAGTACTTGATTATTCTAAAAGGATATTAGAGAATATTCCAGAATTTGAATTAAGTCAAGAATTGGAACTTGTCAGTTCAATTGCAGTTGATTCTGTGGGTATAGCTGCTTATCATTTAAGAGAAGAGTTTCGTTTTGAGTTAGTTGATTATCTCTATCCTGTCATTGATTCATTGGCATCACCATCTGAAACCGTGAGGAAACATGCTTCTAACACTAGTATGATTATTGCTGATACATTATATCGTGGATCTTTATATGAACTGATCTTAGTCAATGCTGATTATTTGGTTGATGCTGTTTCTATTAGATTAAGTAACGCCATGACAACCAGAGCTACAGCTATTCTTGCTGTTTGTGTCAAAATTGCGGGTTATAAGATTATAGAAACTTTTAAAGATGTTCTTGAAATAATATTCAGTTTATTGGATTATTATCACGGGTACGATGATTTGTGTATTGGGTTTTTCATGTTGTTTGAAATTGTTGCTGATGAAATCAATAAGAAGTATCTCCATGATTATGATACCCAAAAGCTTGAGTATTTCGAAAGCTCTTCAACGTATTCTCCTTGGGGTTTGAAGAACTTGAACCAATTAAAAAATTTACTAGATAAATCACAAAGGGAGGTGATCATTGAAGAGAAGCCACAAGAAACAGAAGATGATGTTGAAGATGAAATAAATGCCCAGGATAGTGATGATGAAGATTTACCAGAAGATGTTATTCCAAAAGTTGAAGAGAAGAAGTGGATTTCACCAATACCCGAAGATGCCTACAAACTTTTACAACAAGTTGTCTATTATGGTGAGAGATTATTAACACACAATTCTGTGAAACTACATATCCAGATATTGAGAACCTATGAAAAAATTGTTCCTATATTAGCCACTGCACCTGATAATTTACATCCAATTACTGCTTCAATTTGGCCAGTTATGTGTCAACAAGTTAACAACAGTGACCCCAAAATTATCATCCCAGGCTCTAAAGTTTTATCACAATTATTGAAATACAACAAAGGATTTTTATCAACTAGATTTACCGAATTCTGGTCTATTTTGAAAAACAATAACTTATTGAGATCTGCTAATAAAAGCATCTCTGAAACACAAAAAGTTGTTTTACCTGGTTTGAACTCAAAAGCTTATGAAAGTATTGTAAATATGCTAATAGCTGGTCTTGATTCAATGGGTAGATATATACCAGATTCAATAACAGAAGAAATAATTAAAACTTGCGTTGGTGTTGTTCCCGATATTGAAAGATTTGGAATGAGTTCAGACATAGCATGGTCAATCAAAGATGAATTATATGGATCTCTCAAAGCTGATCAAAAGCCCTCCAATGTTGAAGCTTCTTCTGGCACCACATATGCTTTTGTATAAATTGCAAATTAAATTAAATCATGACACAATTATTAGTTAAATTTTGATTCCCGTAAAAAAACGAATCGTACATCATAAGGTTAATCTGAAGACTTACTACTGACGAAAATTAAGCATAAAATAAAGCGTTCATTGAGCTATTCAAAAAAAAAGTATGTAATTCAATAGTTGTCGTTTTTTTTTTTTTTTT